GATTTAAAACGAAATAAATAAAATACTAATTAAATAATTTATTACTTACGATTATCAAAGCAATTAAACTGCTCATCAATCTTGGTGTATGTTGCAACAAATGTCGAATATTTAAGTTTTGAGTATTTATAATTACAACCAGACCATTCACTTGCGTTCGATGTAAATTTAAGATGAAATCTCCAAAAAGAAAAGCAAGACGGTACGCATCTAACACGTTCATTTTCGAAAAATCACACCGCTCTGTAATTAAAAGATGTATACAAGAATATAAGGTACAGTAACATATCGATATATCAAACTCCGACTTAACGGTGAAAAAATATTTGTGCTAAAGAAACAATTTAAAATCATTTTCTTTTAACTTTTTTCTATACCGGNTCTAAATGTAACACTTTTATATTGTTTTTATTAATTTGGCAATTATTGTCACTTGTGTGGTAGTACCAGGGGGAAGTGTTATGTTTAAGGCGGATGACAGCTTCATGTTTTTTAATTCTGGTTTCTAGTAACCGGCCTGTTTCACCGATGTAAGTTATCGGATTTTGACAGTTGCATTCAAGTTTGTAAACGGTTCCTACAGATTTTAGAATGTTAGGTTTGTTATTATATTGTTTATTAATGTCATAATGGATACTATGAGATATTTTGTTGGTTAAAGATGGTGCTAAAGTGATATCGTCTTTTTTTTAGGATCTTATTACAGCCCTCGGAAATGTTTTTGATATATGGAAAGGTTTGTATTTTTTGTTTAATTTATATTTCGTATTAAACCTATTTTTCCAGTATTGTTTTTGTCATGTGTTTAATTTCGATTTGGGGTAGTCGTTAAGTNAAGAAACAATTTAAAATCATTTTCTTTTAACTTTTTTCTATACCGGACACGTTTCAAATTGATCGTTAAGTCAAGGATACACTATAATATATTTCTTTTATAATAAAAGAAATACAGTAGAGCGTCGTTTATCCGAATCAATTGGGATATTGGGTTGTTCGGATAACTTGTTTTTCGGATAACCGATTATGTACGAAAAAATATATTAACCTATCTCATCCTGAAATTTTTTTTCTGTTGCCTGTCGCTTTGCGTTGAATTTTCGTCGATGTTAAGCGTAACGTAAACATTTTAAAATAATAATCNGTAGTCGTTAAGTAAAAATTTAGCTTCTAGCTCCTTCATTTTAATTTTTTGCCATTTTTTATCTGATATTCTTGTATATAAGTTTTTTAACTCCGTGATATAAATATATTTTTTTATATATTCTGGGACATATGAAGTTAATAGTTTTATTAACATTACATGGTTTTTTGTATGTTACGAAAGAAAAATTATTAAGTGTATTCATGCATGTTATATCAAGGTAATTTATTTTATTACTAGGAGGTGGGTAATAATCTTTATCTTATTTTATTACTTGCAGGTGCGTAATAATCTTTATCTTAGTTATCGTTACTTTTGCCCGGCGTTGCTCGGGCAAAAGTAACGATAACTAAGATAAAGATTATTACGTTACAGTCAACCTTACCCGTTTTCACAGAATGCAAAAATTGGGTCCCCTTGTTTCCAGACTAATTAGAGAATTTTTAGATGGGTCTAAAAAAATGTTCGATTTCCCGCAAAAACGAAAAAAACTGCATCTGCGTATCACACGTCGCTTTCTCTTAACAATTCCATTGTTACGTAACATTTCCATTGTTGACACTTCCATTGTTACTTAGCACTACCATTGTTACTTAAAACTTCTATTGTTGATGGAAGTGTTAAGCCTTAATCCTGTCCCTCTCCCCCGTGGGGAAGAATTTCGAAAAATCCCTTCTTAGCGTTCTCCTAACGTACCCTAACTGTGTACTAAATTTCAAATTTCAACATCTAACCGTTTGGGATCGTATCCATAATGTATATAGAAATTTTAATTATGTCTCTCTCCCCCGGGGGAGAATTTCGAAAAATCCCTTCTTAGTGTGCGTTTTCGTGACGTTTTCTAACTGTGTACCAAATTTCAACTTTCAACTCCTAACCGTTTGGGCTCTGCGCTTATTATTATTATTATCAACCCGTCTCGATTATATATTAGATTGTTTTCTTTTTCAATATCGAATTGAATATTTTCGTTAAATTTGTTAACAGTGTTCAGAATATTATCATCGTTTGTTATTCTGTTATTGTATATTATTAAGTAGTCGTCGGCGTATCTTATTACTAGTTTTATGCCTGGGATATTATTTATTTTTTCATCTATGTTTATCATAGCTAATTCAGCGAATTTTGGTAATGTTTTAAACCGTAACGTTTTCCTGACTAATTGCTGTTTGATCGTCCACAAAAATTAACGTTTGGATTACAAAGACGCTACACACAGAATTTGAAGATACAGCAACCATGTCTTCTACATTAA